GCACTTGGTCGGGTTAATCACTATGTGATGCTCCCGTAACCTAGAAAATAACATTTTTAGATGTTCGACGTGCTCTGCTTCATCTCGGGAGAACACTAAGATGTCGTCTATATACACGTAGCAGAAATCAAGGTCACTTATTAGAGAGTTCAGGTGTCTTTGGAAAGTCTGTGCGGCATTACGTAGTCCGAACGTCATAACTGTAAACTCGAAGAGCCCGAACGGAGTGCACACGGCTGTTTTAGGAACGTCTTCTTCAGCCACGGGAATTTGATGGTATGCGCGCACTAGGTCTATGGTGGAGAACACACTTTTACCTTCGAGTCTGTAGGTGAAGTCCTGTATATGAGGGATGGGGTAGCTGTCAGGCACTGTCACGTTGTTTAGGCGCCTATAGTCGCCACATGGACGCCATTCACCAGGGAGTTTCTTTGGGACAAGGTGAAGCGGACTAGCCCAAGGGCTCTTGGATGGTCGGCACCAGCCCTGTTCCATCATATATTGGAATTCGGCTTTCGCCACTCTCAACTTCTCGGGTGCAAGCCTGCGAGGAGCTTCTGCGACCGGGGGACCTCTGGTGATGATGTGGTGGAACACGTTGCCCCTGTGCTTCGTTCCAGGTGGCGGTGGGCGTGTAATTTCTGCGAAATCCGCTAGCAGTGCGTGATATGGCGTCGTCTTGGCCACTGTCGTGATCTGAGGCGACTTGCATATAGCCAGGGTTCCGCGAGTTGATAAGAGGGTGGCTGCGTCTACGAGGCGTCGGTTGCGGAGATCAGGTAGGAGGTTGTGATGCCTCAGGAAGTCTGCTCCGATGATGGGTTTGCCTACGTCTGCCACTATAAATACCCACTTGAACGGACGTTTCAGCTTGAGATCAAGGAACATTAGCTTTTGGCCGTATGTTCTGATCGCGCTGTCGTTGGCCGCGAAGAGCGTTGTCTCAGCTGGGCTGAGATGTTGTCTGCCTGAGAACAATCTCTTGGGTAACACGGAAACTTCTGCCCCCGTGTCGATTAAATATCGGGTACCTGATTTTGGGTCGGTGATGAAGAGGCGTTGTGTTTGCGCTGCGTCGTGGACCACCTCAATCGTCGACGGCGCCTCTAGTTTAACGGCCTTTTGTAGTCACAGGGTTTGGCGCATCTTCTGGCGTTTGCTCCGAACCGATTGTGATAATAGCAGATATTATCGTCCTGCGGATTCGACCTTGACCTAAATTTGGCGCGATTCCAGTTTTCGCCTTGCCCATGGCGCCTTCTGTCGTCTGCGAGTTGGTTTACTGTGGTCGATAAAGTTACGAACTGCTTCTGCAGTGCCGTAATGGCGGCAGCCATTCCATCTTCTTGCGCCGATGTAACGGTTTGAGAGGCGTGCGCGGAGGTACCCCGATTTAGGGCACCAATATTTGCTGTGATGGCGCTGGTATGGTGGATTTCGGTCAATTTGTCCGCTATGGTCGCCATTTTGTCCAGCGTTTCTTTATCATTTGCGGCGAGGATCATCTGTAGTTGTGGGGGTAAACGCTGCAACCACAGAGTCTTGAGGACGTCACCGCTGATCCCCTTACCCGCTAGGGCTTCCATTTCTCTTAGTAGTTGTGACGGCTGCTTGTCCTCTAACTCTATTTCGTACACGAGCTTCCGTAGTCGTTTTTCGGGGGTGTCTGCATAGGCGGCGATCAATCTGGATTTTATGCTTTCGTACTTTGTCTCTTCTGTTGGGGGGTTGGCGACCAAATCGGCAACCGGCTGGAGCGTCGCGCAGTCTAAGGCGGTTACCACGGTCCAGTACTTGGTCTGGTCGGACCTGATTCTCGCGCAATTAAATTGGGCTTCGACTTGTGCAAACCAAAGCACCGGGTCTCGCTGCCAGAATGTCGGTAGCTTCAGATTTGAACCACTTCTTACCTCATCCAGGGCTTGTTTGTTGGAGATGGTAGCCAGTTGTGTCTGGAACTGGCAAATTATTTCTTGTTGTTCCTGCAGTTTCTTTTGCATTTCTTCCATGGTGCTAGCTCTTCCTATTTTCTTTCCGGGGTCACCAATGTGGAAATGACTAACACCAGGTAGGGTTTCTCTATAGTTTATTTACAAACGGATATCTTACACGTGGAACAGGAGACGGTACCCATCTTCTTCGTTTCGATGTCGGCGGCAGAAGAGAGTACTTGCCGTACTCGCGCCTCCTTGTGTCCCCAGTTGGTCTCTGCGTCGGCGCCAGGCTAACCAATCACGAGTGGTGTTCGGTGAGCATATTGAGTTGCCTACTCGTAGGCGAGAGGAAGTAGTACGTGTGCGTTGTGTTGCCTACATTAACATCACAGCAACGCCACAAACTTAATCGAAGATACGACACCCTATTACACTTACATTCCGTCTCCATTCCTTGAAAATAACAAATACAAATTATACTGGGATCGCACAATACTTACAGACTTAAACATTACAGCTAACAGACCAGACATCATACTTATCAAAAAACACACGAACGAAGCCATTCTCATTGACATTGCTATTCCTAACACAAACAACATTATTCAAACATACGACACCAAGATTTCAAAATATCTACAATTATCAATAGAAATGAAATCCATGTTGAATCTTAAAAAAATTTCAATTCTACCCCTAGTTATCTCTAATGTAGGTGTAGTTCCAAATAGCTTAGTTGAGAATTTAAAGTCTTTGCATTTGAATGATTCAATAATTGTCAAAATTCAAAAAGCTGTTTTGTTAGGAACATGTCATATTGTTCGTAAGTTTCTTGAACAGTCTGATCATGTCAGTCAGATTAGATTAGCACCAGTAGGTCAGAGTAGTGTAGGTCACTTTTCATGTGATGCGCGGATAAATGGTCGGTAGTTACGCTGGACTCTTGGGGATGGGGTGAGATTAGAGAATAATAGCAGACTAATTTGTATGCTGTAATTCTAGAATCTCGAAAGTTGTTCTGTTAATCTAATCAATGCATATCATTACTTGGTCTTAGTACCCGTAATGATAGAAGTCTTGCCTGAATGCCGGTCATTTCCGGGTCAGTGGTGGGTCTTAATATAAATTTAATAATAAAAATTTGTGGTGAAAAAATTCACTTGAAACTTCGCATAGTACGCTTCTTTATCTTTACTTTAACACTACAGACATATCTTATAGCAGGTTATCATAAAAAATAAATAAAATTGCAAAATTAAATTTTATTATGTTTCGAAAAAGTTTTAGAGTCGATTTTTAGATATTCTTCATCTGTAAAGGCTGTTGAACTGCTGTTTCCCTTCTTTGATTCATCTAAGCACTTTACGTCTCTTGCAGATCTCGTTTCTTTAAATTCTACGTCTTCAAATGGGTTTATGACTCGATTGAAGTTGTCATAAAATCAAAAACCTCACTTGGAACTAAGCATAGCGTGCTTCTTTATTTTTACTTTATCATAAAAAAATAAATAAAATTTGCAAAATTAAATTTTATGTTTCGAAAAGGATAGATACCTATGTTTTACCTACTATATTTCAGTGGAGAGGGAAGTTCTGTCTAAAAACCTTATGTCAATTTTTTTATATCAAAAAAGCAATAGATTAATGTTAATGACAATGACTAAAAATCACGCCGCAACAATGATCCTGAAACAAGGACATTATTTTTTATTTAATATTAATACAACGTCCTTGTTTCAAAATCAAAATCGTCGTGAACATCCGTTCCATTTTCGGTTAATTTCGCCAGTTCAAAAACCCGGTATTCGCAACGCCACCTAGAAACAAGGCCTTGCCACTAAAGAATTGATCTGTCAAGATGGCGTCAATAGTAGGTTTCTAGACAGCGTCAACCCATCGCCGTCAAGCTGCAGCTGCGCAAAAGCAAGATTTTTGAATTTGAAATTGTGGTATATTTTTATTGTATTTGTTTTCTTTTGTGAATAATTGTTTTTCGTTTTGTGTTTTTGTGTATTTGATTTGTTACTCGTTGTAATTTTAAGTGAACAATGCCTTTTAAGTGTTGTGTCAATCAGTGTAAAGACCAGAAAACGTTGTTTTCCTTTCCAAAAGAGGAAAGTCGGAAAAACGAATGGCTACACCGATTAGGCCGTAAGGATTTGCTGAATAAAAATATTAAAAATTATAGGGTACGGTACAAGAGAAGCGTTAATATAAACTTACAAATGATCAAATGGAATATTTATTATTATTAGGTATGTGAACTTCATTTTCAAGAAGGGGATGTAAAAAGAAGTGAAGAAGTTTATAGTGAGGAAACCGGCCAGTTAATGGCAGTACCCTTAGATCGCCCTCGTTTAAGAAAAGGTGAGTTTTCGATAAAACTTTCCATAACCAAAATTTTCCAAAATCCATTTTCTGCTCTTAGAACCAACCTAATCTCAAACGTTCATCTATTCCTCAATATTTCCTTATTTCTAGATGTAACACCTATTTCCCTCCCTTCAAGATCATCCTTTCAAAAAATTCCTCCAAAAAGAATTTCTCCAGAGAGAAAACGACAGAGGCTGGAATGCGAAATGCTACAGTCAGCAATCGCAACCAGCATTGCCTCTGAAGAAATATATTGGAAGGAGAGAACCTTTTCCAATATTGCTGATGTGACTAATTTTTTGACAAAACATCCCCTATCAGATTGGACCGCCTCATTTAAGCCCGAAGCAATTTTTCTGTTTTTCATTTTGGAAGATGCTAATTCTTCCGAGTTAAAGTGTGGCTTGAAAATTTCAAACGAATTGAAATTAATATTATTACATGGTAGTGTTGAAAGCAGCATTTTAAATTTTTTCTCGCCTTTGACCAATGCAGTTCAGTTAGAAAATGGACTAAAGGAAATTGCAAAATCATTGACTGACCCAATAGATAAGGGTGTTGATGAAAAACTGAACTTAGTTAATAAAACATTAAATAGTTTGTTGTCTGAATTGCCACCAGAGACACACAATACAATAAAATTCATAACTGATCAAGTGAATTTATTGAAAACTTCAAAAAACCGACACAGATATTCATGGGAAACTGTTTTATTTTCTAGTTTAATACACTCAATTTCGCCACATTGTTATAAGTTTATACAAAATTCAGGAAATTTAATACTTCCATCTTCAACAACAATAAGAAGAGTTTGTTCAAAATTTTCTGGAGATCCACAATTAGAACAGCACAATGCCCACTTTCTTCATTATATAAAAATGAAACAGCAATTCCTAAATGAAAATGACAAAATTGTTGCAATATTATTGGATGAAATCCATATCAAACCATATATGGACTACAAAGGTGGTACTGTTGTGGGGAAGTCTTACAACAGCGCAGATTGTGCTACTACTGCTCACGTTTTCATGTTAAGTGCAATACGATCAAGTTATAAAGATGTTGCACATATTTTACCAGCGTGTAGATTGACGGCCGAAGTTTTGCATGGTTTTCTACAAAAAATTATATTAGAATTAGAAAACATGGGCTTTAAAGTAGTAACTGTGGTCACTGATAACAACGCCATAAACAGGAAGGCAATGAGTTTCTTTTCAAATCCACCACAAATTTGTGAGAGCTATAAACACCCTGCAGATAATGACCGACCACTTTTTTTCATTATTGACACAGTGCACATTTTGAAAAACATCCGGAACAATTGGCTGAACCAAAAAAATGGCCAAATAATGGTATATCCCGATTTTGATGACTTTTCCATAAAAAGGGAAGCACGGTTTGAGGCAGTAAGAACTTTACATCTGGTAGAAAAAGATAATCTGCTCAAGTATGGTTATACACTGTCCTTGAAGGCACTTTTTCCCACTACGATGGAGAGACAAAATGTAAAACTTGTTCTTCAGGTGTTCAACCAATCGATCGTAACAGCTCTCAGACAGTTTGGGCCTAGAAAAAATTTGATAAGTTTTGAAGACACTGCCATTTATCTACAAATTTTTTGTCAATGGTGGGATATTGTCAACACAAAAACTTTATTAAAGGGCAAAAGATCTAGAAACATCTTCCAAGAACCATTGACAAAAAACTCAACCCAAATTTATGAGTTCTTAAATAAATTTACATTGTGGCTGGATCACTGGAAAACGTTTGAAGATGGCAAATTAACAAAAGAAACCCATCATGCCATATCTCAATCTGTGTCTGGACTGATCAAACTTTCAGAATATTGTCTACATCATCTAGATTTTAATTTCTTCCTTTGTGGAAAAATTCAAACTGATAAGTTGGAGGAGCGGTTTGGAAAATACAGACAATATTCAGGAAGCCACTATCAAATTAGTCTTCGGCAAGTGCTGGAAAATGAGAAGAAAATTAGGATGCAAAGTCTTGCACCTTTGTTAATTAAATCAGAGAACGTTCACCTGCAAATCTCTGCACAAGATGTACTCAACTCTAGTACCAGTGCTGACGATAACGATATTAAAGGCTATGATAGTTCTGCTTTTTTCTTTGAAGCTCTTGTGAACAACAGCGACTTAGATGAAATTCCAGATTCTACTTGGCCCATTCTAACATTTATTGCGGGCTATGCTTCTTACGTCGCTAAAAAGAAATTTACTTGTGGTTACTGTGAGGAATTTTTAATTACCAATAATAATAGACTACCTTTTGAAAACCTAGACTACAGCTTAATTGATGTCAGCGATAGAGGTGGTTTATGTTATCCCACAGAAGATGTTGTGACGATTTGTGCATACACCTACAAAACCGTGGAAAAACTTTTAGCGAACGAAGAACTTTTTTTGTCTGAAATAAATCAAAAACAATTTGTTCGAAATGTGACATTTGAAAACATGTCAGATACTGACTTTTTTTTGGGGCACAACTGTCAAAAACACGATACATTTGCTATAAAAAAGATTATAATCAGTTGCACGACCAACATTTTGCTAAACAATTACTGCAAAAACAAAAATAATGTAAATATAAAGACACAACTAACCTCTTTGAAGAGAGGTAAAAGACATTAACAACATCAGATTTTGCCGAACTATTTGCTGCAACTCCAATTATCCGGTAATTTTATGTCATTTGAAGCGTATAATCTAAATAAATACTTTTCTATTTCTTGCAGTAACATTTTATGCGGCTTCGACGTCGAATTTTCCAAACGTAAACAAACCTTCTATTTCCGCCATCTTGTTTCTGCGCACAGGCCTTGTTTCTAGGTGGTGTTGGTATTCGTCACTAGAGCAAATAAACAATATTGCGCAATAATTAATTGTTTTTATGTTGGTAACAGCCGCTTGGCTTTTTAATTTGACAAGTGACAGAAAATGTAAAGCATCGACATGGCGGGTATTCGGGAAATAGACAAAGCATTATTTCCAATAAAGAATATATCATCAGTTATCCAACTTTTCAAGAATCAATTAGAAGATGCTTGCGAACCGGATTTAGCTTTACTGTCAATAGTCGCAGGTGCTGTCGAGAACTCGTTGACATGCCGGTCGAACGCGGGCTTGCAGGTATGCGAACCAGTGGAACCCACAAGTCTACCAGTCCTGGAGTTTCACACCATCGAGACCCTCTACAGTAAGTTCCACACCATAATGAAAAGTGCCGTCGAGCCCAACAAGGGTTTCAAATCTTACGCCACGAGAGAGCTCGTCAAGAAGGTCTCAGACGTCGTTTGGAACTCCTTAACCCGCAGCTATTACAAAGACAGGGCCCATTTGCAAAGCTTGTACAGTTACCTAACGGGCAGCAAGCTGGACTGCTTCGGAGTCGCTTTTGCCGTGGTCGCCGGCTGTCAGACGCTCGGCTACACAGACGTGCATTTGGCACTGTCCGAGGACCACGCATGGGTCGTCTTTGGAGAGAGAGGCACGGAGACGGCAGAAGTGACGTGGCACGGTAAAGGCAACGAGGACAAGAGGGGCCAAGAGATCGGAAAGGGAGTTTCGGCTAGATCTTGGTTATACGTAAACAATAGGCCAGTAATATGTACGAGGCACATGGAGGTGGCTGCTCTGGTTTCGGCGATAAATCCTTCCTTAAATGCCACTCATGACGCTTTCGAAGTGGCTTTACTACAACAGGAGTTACTGTGGCTTTTGTATGATCTGGGGCACTTGAAGAAGTATCCCATGGCCATTGGCAATCTTGGAGATTTGGAAGAGATTGCTCCTAAAGAAGGAAGGTGAGAACGTTACAGAGTCGTGGGTTTGAGTAATTGCTAAGTTTATTTTGTTTTAGGACGCCATGTAATGTGTTATTCGAAGAGGCCATATCGTCTGCACGTACCTATTATAATAATCAACATGTATATCCTTATACTTATCAGGGAGGTTACTTTTACCGTAACAAAATGTACAAAGAAGCTTTTGAGAGCTGGGCGAACGCCAGTGATGTTATTAGATTGTAAGTATTTATATTTAGAATTTTATGATTAAAATTTGACATACTAATTTTATCTTATCTGCTTCCTATGACTTATTTTTATAGTATTTTTATCATTTTACATGCTGAAAATAACTGTAAATTGCTTCTAGAGGGTAATAAAAGCAGTATATAAAAATATATTGCAAGGCTTCAGAATGCTTAAAGTTCAAAATATTTTGTAGGAACAAATATTTATACTTCTTTACTAAGTTTTGTGACAGGTGTATAATCTACAATTTGACTTTTTAATAGCTGTAGACAAAGTTGGGATTATAATTCCTTTTTCTAGAGTATTGTTGCGTGCAGTCTATGAATATAATTGCCATTACACCATAAATATGACGTGTTAACGTTAAAATCAATTTTTCAAATTGTATGCTTTCTGTCCAGTAAATAATATGAAAATAAATGTGCCCTTCGCACTTCTCATTTATGTGGTTATTTGCTTCAAGTTAACTTTAATTACAAATAATAACCTCATTTTTGACTAAATATTATAGTTGATACAATTACCATTATTTTGTGAAACTTGATTCTTTTTTTAATAATTGGTTTTATAACCACTAAGTAATTGCGTAGGAACATTGTTGACGGAAACACTTTGCCACTTTAGCCATGCAAACAAAATTTTTGTCAAACATGTCAAATCATAACCCAATTTTTGAAATTTTGCCCAAAAGAAAAAAGTACATAAAATATAAATTATTTAATATTACCAACTGGTAATAACGTTTTTGATTTCAAATTCGTTCTTTATATTTTTCTGGAAATTTATTAGACTACTTTTGTTTAGAGATGTACCGACTATAGTCGGCCGACTGTTCGGCTTTGCTAAAACCCGTTAAAATTGGTTTAATCGACCGAAAATTGGTGTCAAATTGTAGATAATCTTCCGCTAGTTACGATTCTGAAATCGCCGTCACGATATCTGGTCCAATAAACACGCAAAGTGAATTCAAAATTTCCAAAAATTTTCCAAAAAAAGCGGTTAGAATTGGTTAAAGTATTGTATAAACTGACTCTAAATTGTGTTATTCTTTATTTTTGTACTGAGTTACTACAAAAAATTAAATGTTAAAATTATCCAAACAAATTTAACACATTTTTTGGAAAACAAAGGAACTTTAGTTATTCCTTTTATTAAAATAAAACAAATTTTAAGGTAGTCAGAGAAATAGAAAAAAAACACACTGTCTGTTGCATTTATAAACCGGTTTTAGCAAAGCCGAACAGTCGGCTGACTATAGTCGGTACATCTCTACTTTTGTTCACAATGAAGTGCTGAAAGTATCAAAAAGTTGGGGATACATTTTTGTATATGATTAAGAATAGTGATTTTCAATTTTTACTTCCCCAGTGTAAATTACGGAACTACTGTAATAAGGTCCATCCGGTGCACGGCTACTTTCATGTTTTATTGACGTTTCATGGTCATGAAAACCCGAGAATGAAAAAAATAGGTGTCTCATTTCCGTACTTCGGTCGTTTTCTGTCGTCTGATCTGTCTGTGTCAGTTTGTATTTGTTGTCAAATTTTATATGTGATGATTAGCGTAAGCTAAAGAAGTATTGTAATCGAGTCCATCGGGTAACCGGCTACTTTATATGTTCTCGATGTGTCATGACTCTTTGAGTATGAAAAAATAGGTCCCCCGTTTTCGTCTGTTTGTTTGACTCTATGTCCATCCGTCAGTGTCGATTTTTGTAAGACAGATAATCTCCGAAACTACCGGACCGATTGTTGTCAAATTCTTGTACATATTATGAATATCATGTAGATGGTAAAACGCTAACTAAACTTTATCCAATTAACCAACAATGTGATGACGTCACCTCAAAATTGTACATAGTAAATGGGTTTTAAATTGTAAAAATAACACAGTCTTACAAGTGTAGTTTATGGATCCGTGTTTTTACAAGAGACATCCAGATTTTTGGAGAAAAATTGAAATTCTATAACAACTTTTTACAATTTGAATCTTCAAAATCTAATGCTTTGTAATCTTCCAGACGTATTAAAGTTGTCGCAAGCATGGTAAATTTTTTATGAAAATATATTTATCCCATCCAAAAAACTGATGACGTCCTCAAAATTTTGGCGAATAAATCCTATTCAACATGTGATGAGTATACTTGTGATTTACAGTTTTTAGAATTGTTTATTCAAGGTAGCGCAAAAAAAAAACAGTGAATGATGCGATCAATTTTCTTTTGTTGAAATTTTCGTGAAAATTTGGAAATACAGTACTATTATTATTAGTATTCCGCCTTACCCAACCAAATTGATGTCCTAGCCAAAATGTTGATGACGTCATTACAAAATTTTGTAAAGTAAAAACTTATTTGAAACATACGCATAGCGCGCTTTTTTCATTTACTTTAACATTCTTCTCATAAATAAATATATATACATATAATTTGCACAATCAAATTTTATGATTTTTCGAAAAAGGTAGATATGTTTTATTGTACTTAGGGAACGAGGGAAGTTCCGTCGAAATAACTTTAGACTAATTTTACACCCTATAGATATATTAATATAAAAAAAAATAAATTACAAAATCATATTTTTTCGTTTCCTAATTTAACTTTGAAACTGCAAAATCGAATGCCCTGATGTTTTACAAACGATTTAAGATCAGTGCAAACATAATAAATTTTTAATCAAAATTTGTCCCCCAGTGATGACGTCATCATAGAATTTTTTAATAAAAAAACTCATTTGAAACATACGCGTAGAATGCTTTTTTACCTTGCTACACACATTTATTTTATTTTAACTGACAGTAGTTCTTATATAAAAGGAAAATTGGTAAAATCAGATTTTATAATTTTTCGAAAAACTTAGATATGTTGTAGTCGGGAGCGAAGGAAGTGTGTCAAAATAACTTTGAACTAATTTTTCCGATTAATAACGTTTAATTATTTGAAAAAAGTGTAACCTTTGAGAAACCGTTCTATTGACTCCAGAAAATAAAAGTCTGGAAACAATAGATAGCATCATGTATATTTCAGTTTTTAAAACTTCCTGTCCTACATCTCAGTGAATACAAAGAAATAACTTTTGTGAACTATTGAAATGTTTCTCTGTGTGGTAGGTATATACAGTGTGTGCGAAAAAAAAAAACAAGTGGATTAATTAAAAACAATTTATTTTTTATGTGCATTATTGACAGTCCCCGTTTTTTTAAGGTATAATTATTCTCGGGACGACGAAGAAATTTATAAGGAATTCTTAGAGATAGCGAACGAACTAATACCTCATATAATGAAAGTTGAAAGCTCAGGTTTCAGTGCAAATACCATACTAAAAAAGCCTGAATGTTTTGCGAATTTACTCCGTTTTTACGACGGAATTTGCCAATGGGAAGAAGGAAGTGCCACTCCTGTCCTACATATAGGATGGGCAAAACCGCTAGTAAATACGATATCAAAATTCGACGCAGAAGTCCGAGCCCAAGTCGACATAGTTTGTGGCAAACCAGAAGATGACACCAATAAACGAGCAAACGGAGGTTACTACAATAACAACAACAACTACGAAAAAGAAAACGGAACCAACGAAACCGACATTTTGACTTCGCTGGGTTCGAAAACTCTCAAAGATGATCAGTCTACGTCGAATTTTCATCCGAGTATTGAAGCGTTGACCGCCGCTTGCTCGGAGAAAATTCTCAACCCTGATTATTTGCTACAAGGGGATGGATCGCCTTTTGTAGGTAAGTGAAATTAATTTACCATATATGTTGACATTCGACTATGGTTCGTAGTGTACTTTTGATATCTCTTAAACGGGAAAATTATATAGTACCTTTTTTGTGCGCGGTTGTAAGCAGTAAAGTCATCAGTTAAGCTTATTTGAAACTCAAATGGTATCTACACAGTTATCAGTCAGTTTAATCCCACAATATTCCTAATTTAGCATCAACAAATTGGCATATCTAAAATCTTGTTAAATCTTAACTAAACCTCAATTTATCTTTAAGAATTTCGAATTTTTACTTTTAAAATATGAAGAAATGTAATAAAGTAACTCAGAATAAAAGCCCCTATAAGATATCCTGTTTTTTAAACAGAAAATTCATTCGAGGAACAGTGACTTTTGTATTTTTTTTTTCATTTTTAAGAATAGTAAATAGTTTTAAGTTTTCATTTAAATGTTACTAATTGTTGTAATTATTGCGCTTAAAAGAATTAATATTTAACAAAAGAAGTGTACCCTACTACTCACGAAAATAATTTGCACCGTAGATTGAAATTCTTAGTTAATTCTTAAAGTATCGGTGCAGCACTTTCAGAAACAAAAGCGAAACCGTGACAACTATAGAACTATAATTTGCAGCAAAATAAATCAGTTCATTATTTCGTCTACTCGCATACTGTAATTCTTTTGTTTTGTCATCATTGTGTCATAAAGTTAATTTTAGTTTTTTTTTTTTTTTTAATTAAAGAATTAAATTTAAAATTCTTTTTGTGCATCGAATTTCCAAATAATAAATTGTTGTGAACGGATTGTGCACGCCCCATTGATTGCTATTTTAAATATAGCAAGCTAACATTGATTTAAAATGAAGAAATACATACAGTTTACTTATTACCGCTTTTTTACTTTACATTCTCAATGTCATTTTGTAAACTTGTTTAGATCGAAGTTTGGAGTTTGCTTTAAATTTTTTTTATTTTAACATGGTTATATATGTTTTAAATAGATACAATCTCAAATAAGCGACTCGGAACAGAGCAATACGCAAAACATCTAAATATAACTTGGCAGTTGTTTTGCTTGCTTCAAAACAGTAATGTTATAAATAATGTTAATAATAATTAGGAGGTGACGAAGCTGTGCCATTGGAAAAAGAAAACGGCAAGCCCAGCACTTCTAAGCAAGAAGTGGAAGAGAAAAAGGAGGAAGCGATCCCAGAAATAGAAAAAAAAGAAGAGGTGAAAGAAAATAAACGACCGACAATCATCCTTCACAGTCAAAAAATGAAGGAACTAAAAGATCTTCTGCTGGCAGAAAAACTGAATACTCACGCGATATCTCTACATTTAACAGCGCAATCTCAAGTACAAGTGGGTAAAAAAGGTCGAAGTGAGTCTGACGGTGGTATCCGACCCAAAAGGGCCAGGCGAGAATAAAGCGTTTATAAATTTTGGCGAGAATCGATACAGTACTTAATTAGCAATGCAGGGCATTATAATTTAAATGCAATATCATTGGTGGCTTTCGAAGAGATTTTTCATCAGAGTTTATTTTCTTCTTTTCTTTATAATTGTACGCTCATCACAGTTTTACTAGATTAGCTAGCTTCATTGAAGGCCTGAATTCAAAATCTGATGATAACCTCTTCATGTTTGAAGTAAAATAAAAATCCACAATTGACATTTTTTTGGGAGCTTGCCATTTGATCAGTAGTTGCACATTATGATAAAAGAAAAATCAGTATTATGTTGAACAGAACTGATAATTCTCATAATTTATTAACATAATATTAGTCTTTTGACATAATTTTCTTAAAGATAGAAGTAAGGATATTGCAGTTAATTTGAAAGTTATTATGAACGCCTCATTTACTTATGTGATTGCACTACCCTCCTGCTTGACGCTTGTTCTTGTTCAGAATATTTTAATTGCACGTTAGTTAATCTTCTAGTTAGTTGTTAGGTTATTGTTAAACATTCCTCTCGTGATTAGATCACAAAATGAGTAGTATTTTTCGGTTGTTAATGCATTTTATGCATCTAAATGTTTTATTGTGGTATTTATTATGTATTTTATTAAGTGTTGTTTGTAAGTTATTTTCGACGCTAATTTTAATCAAATGCCGAGCAGTTTAATCCTGCGCATCTTCTCTATATATTTCACAACATTATTACAATCACGCCTAAACTGATTTTGTGATGGTTACTATTGTAACCAGTAAGGCTGTTTTCGGGGTTAATATTTATTTGCCGCTACCTCCCCTAGCACCATATTTTAGTGCATCTGTGCAATCAAGTCTACATAAAATTAACCTGTTGCCGATATAACACGAATTTAGATTCTTTTGCTAAATCTATGATTTGTGCTTGCAGTAGTACACTGTTTTTGATTTTGTTTTGTTAATACATTGTGGAGTCTTAAATTTAGGAAACATCAACCTATAGAATCATCTTTCTTGTTTAGGAGTAAGATAAATTTAGTGAGTAGCTTGAAAAGCTAATTTTATTTTTATATTCGGTATTATAGTGAAACTGAGAAATGGTACAATAATATTGAGATTCAATGACAAATTTTACAATCGCGAAGCAGAACGGTTTTTAAATCGAGGAATAAAAAGAGCGCTATAGTATTCTATTTAATTTTGGATTTGGTTCGATTTAACGACGTTGCCAAAACGACATTATTTGAAAGACAGTGCTTTGCATTTTGTTCTTTCATAGTTCTGTTTCTCTTTTTTAACATGATTCAGGTTTAGTTCTAGCAATTTATCCTTTGAACTTTCAACTGTACCACAGCAAAATTAAATTATTGTAGTCTGTGATGAATTAAAGGGTGACTAATGTATTTATTGATTAATGTATTTTGTAGAAATAGAGGTATTATTGATACATGTATTTTTCTAACCAAAAGTAAATTTATCAGATTCTTCCATTTTGTTTGTTAATGTTGAATTATATGAAGTCTAACTTTGAAGTTTGGAAATGATTGTATAAGTATTGTTATATTTTGTAGGCTTTTCTCAATACAAATAAACAATGTACAACATCACATCTTAGAGTAACTCTGATTATTTACAACGTATACAATTTAGGAGTTAAATACTTGTATTTTCGCCCACAATTATTAATAAATGAAATGCATACTTGCACGCGTTTTCCTTGTCAATCCCACCATTTAAAATAACAGGATTAAAGCACCAACGACGTTAGAAATCAACAAGTTTATTTAATCTTACTACTAAAATAGAAATTCCGAATTAACGAATTGGAACCCAAGGTTCAAGAACTTCCGAGTACTTTTTACGCGCTAAAACAAACAAACATTAATTACAAGCGACGTACTTGAGACAATTTACCGAATTCTGGAAAATCTTCAGGGTGTAAGTCTACATAATGTCGAAAAACGGCGTCCCTCTCGGCAAGATATTCGTTTCTGTAATCGTCTACATATTTACCAATAGCTGCACCCCCCGCGGTTACGAGTACATGTGTCTGAATTCCTAAAATTTAACATTATGTAAGCTGTCACTACAACATCTGAGGTTATGTTATTGTGCCTACCGCTCATTAACGGCCTTCTAATGGCCCAGTTCGCTGCAACTACACCGAGGAATCCCAAGCCACCACAAATAATTGGGCCCCAATACTTGTTCCAAATTGGGGCCGCCCGAGTGCCGTCATTACGTAGTACTTCGAGAGGAGAGGTTGCAACTTTGGGTCCGGTAGCCATTTTATTTCTTATTTTAAAATTGGCATAAAAGTTGATAAAACAGGTGTCTAGATTATCGAAGTTACGAGAAGTACATGGGAGGAGCATATTACAAAGTAAAGTTATATGCGAACGGTACCCCCATATTGTGTATTTTTTGATACAGTAGCATTTCATTGAATTTCAGTTGTGTTCTAAATACGAAATTCGAGTCTTGAGTTAGGTTATGTAGAAACGAAATGAAACATTTTCATGTTGTTTTAGTTTTATTTATTATTGATTTCTTTGGTGTGAACACAAACGAGTCAGAAATAGCCGAAGAGTTATGTATCCTTTATATTTTTATGTAGTAAATCTATGTGTTCTTGTTGGACACTTAACTCACTTTAGATAAAAAATTATTTAAACGACAACGAGCTGAACAGTTGGAAGCCATCAAGAGTTTTCAGAAAATTTCTAACTATGAGAAACAGTATTCAATGATAATGCTCATGGCAGAAAAAGTATTTACTGTAATCCAGGACAGCCGAGCGACAATCGAAGCCTCACCATACATCCCTGGTGTCTCAGAGTTTCCTTTAGATGATAGAATTAAAGATGCCTTATCGAATATTTTGGAGAATACTGCTCTATTTTCGGAAATAATTTTAAGATTTCCAGACATATCAGTATCAGTATTAAAGACCAATAATAACTGGGATGTGTTGCTACAGTGGAGTATTGCATTTTGCAATCAAGTCAGATATCTTTTGGATAATAGTACAATTAAAGCGCTGTCTTTAGCTAGTCAAGAACTCAATCACGTTGAACGAAGTCCACATTATGTTAACCCATACAGGAAGCAAGGTCCTCAGCTTAATGCTGAAATAAGTGCAGCTAAAAGCAAAAAGAAAAGGAAAGAAATTAAGAAAGGTCCACGCTTGTCTAGTCACTCAGAACTTTAGGTAAATTATAAGACTGCCACATGTTTCCTATTTTTGATTTAATTAGCATCATGTAGTGGAAGGTATTATATAAATACGTTTCCATTGTAGGCTTGATGTAAATTTAGTTGTTCTTCATGAAGCTCAATTTAAATAGCGCGATTCTATTATAAAAAGAAATCAGTTTCATAACACTGCATTCTTTGAAAAGAAATGAAACAGAAACTGCATAGATTGTAATATTTGCTCAATATTATTATAGACTTATTTTTTTGCCTTTGCTAGACATATGGTGTGTTCATGAATTATGAAACAAATTTTGTAAACGTTTTACAACACTTTTCCAATTTATGTTGCCAAAGTTATCACATACTTACACTCTTTAAAAGCTGTAAATTTAATGGCATCACACGACCAGATTTATACGAAATTTTGATACTTAAACTGAATTTAGTGCAATATTGTACCAGCTGTATCAACACTGGTCTGATCCGATTTTATTTTAAATTTTACATTCACGGGTTATATAGAAAAAAAGAGTTACATTTTAGGTTCAAATTAAACATTTTTGAATACTCAAAGTGTTGGTCAAAATTTCGTAATTGTCATATTCCGACCCTTTAATTTGGAGGGAATTTGTACCATACATCATGGAGACACTATATTTACATATAAATATAAGAGTGAAGCCTTTCATAGATCGACGAAATGTCTGAATTTTAAAATGCTATTCATAATTTGTTAGGAATGATAACAATATAAATGACAATTGTTGCTCACTTCGGTCTAATGGTAAGTTAAATTTTTGTCTTCTCACAACTATCATATAGTGATAAATACGGCAATACAGTTTTCACAAAAATCCGTCGACGTATATTTAAATTATGAAAACATTGTTACATAGTACTAATTGTATTTTTAAATAAACTGGATGATCGAATAAATTTAGCATCGCCGACGACCACGAAAAACACAATTCTTCTTTGCAATGAAGTTTAACATAGTTGTGGGGTTGTTGAGTATTGAAAAAAATATTTTGTAGTTCCTTGTTTAAGATTGGTCGTGTTAATTATACAGTGTATAGTGCTTCACTGCCCCCTTGTATTTGTTACCATTACAAATTTTAACAGTAATAGGAACGAACAAATTATAGTTTTATTTGACCGTAGAGGATGTTGTGTAACACTTTCATATGTACTAAAGCTATGAACCATTTTATCGTACCTTACTTATGATGTGGAATTTATTTGATCATTGAAGTGTCTCTAAATCAGATAATGGCTTATGTGTACGTACTAATCCACTACGTGCATTATTCATTTCCTAAATGCAGTCTTGAAGTTTTTTTTCCTGTGATAAACAGAGTAAATTCCGTGTTATATTACTCCATGTTTTAACATGGTGTTCAATATAAACATAGTTGTATTAACATTATACATTGGTTATATGATATGTATACGTTACGTCGATTTATACAAATACAATTTATATTTAATTTTTATGGATTTCAACGAATTTTGTAGATACTGTAAATAAAGACACAATGTTAGTATACAGATCTTTTTTTTTTACTATTGCCCTAGCGTAGGTTTTAATAATTATTAAAACCTACGAAATGATTATAATCATTTCGATTTTTCTTTCATTATTATTCGTGTAAATTAACGGCGATTATTGGCATTCACTTTTAGTAATTAAGCTAAACTTTTATACTTAATTAAACAAAAATTGGTCGAAGATTATTTTGACAGAACTTCCTTCGCTTGCGTCACAGTATATCACATAGAAAAGGAAAGATATAGAATGGCATCTCTTGTCTGAAAATTTGTTCGTTGACAACAGCGCCATCTTAATACCTATTACCAGTACTTTCCAAAAATCATGCATTCGATTCCTGTAAATTACTACAATAAAAAATGGCGGGTGAATTAAATGTGATTCCTTTCAATAAGCAAAAATAATTTCAATTGAAATTCAAATGAATACACAAAATGGGGAACAAACATTTATTATACATACATTTATTACACACGAGTATTATTATATAAAAAAATAATGTATACAAAATTTGTAAAAACTTAATTGGAGCAATACAAACAAAAACAGGGTATGTTTTCATTAAGTCTAATTACAACTATTTTTTCTAGCTTTTGAGAAATTTTAGATAGGCTCCCATTTAACAATCATATACATATAAGTATTTAGTTAAATACACAAGTAATTTCAAAGTGGTTACTCGTAATTTTACGATAAATATTTTCAGAAGCATAAAATTACCTGCTAAATGAGATACCGATGTTGCTATTAACTACCTTCTTGCAGTTTTCCCATAAACTTTTTTTTTTGAGGGAGTCGTCCTTAATAATTTCACTTCAGGGCTTATATCTTTTGATGTTCCTGGTACAGCTAACATTTCCGTTTCTGCAGATATAGGGCTTGGAACTGCTGCACAAAACAAGCAAACATTAATTCAAATCTAAATATGAAGACACGATTTTACCTTCTGTAGTCACTTCTGTTGATTTTGCAGGAAAATAAAAACAGTTTTCACTCGTTGGATCCTCATGAAATCCTACAATTTGCAAATAATATAGACTTTGTAAACAATTTCTATTAACAAACCTGGAATATTCAATGTCGGAATAGATCCATTTAAAATTCTTTTTGTTGATTGTCTGTTTATATTGATTTCTGCAAAATGTGACTCGTATATAAACTGGCTAACTGCTGTTTGTCTAGAAGTCAGTGAAGCATGTTTTGGGTTGTTTATTCTTGCAATCCAAATATCTAACAATCCTTATTGCTTGGAAAGCGATGTCTACGAGACGTCGTGTCTTCGCAATTTGGGATGCAACATGTACGTACTCTTTGTCCGGACATTATCACACAATAATAAAAGACTCAACGATGCACACTGAAAACGTACCAATTATTATTTTTATATTTACCAATGATTAGTTTACCTTAAACTCTCCAGAAGGAACTATAGTTCTGAAAAAAACTGATTTTACAAATCGGAAAAATAAAACAGCTGACTGCAACAGTTGAAAAGAAATCTCAAATTTGAAAGTGGACTCGCCCGAATAAAGAGCACAATATGATTCTATACATATCTTTGTCGCTCCCATTGGATTTGTACTGACACTGGTGCCATCTCTTGTCCTATTCCACAAGCTTTCAATGTTCAAGGTCATTGTATTAAGTTTCCACCCCCGGTATATCATACAGTAAAGACAGCTCGTCAAATATTGGAACAACGTGTCCTTACCCAACCGTTTTGATTAGGCGGGATTTTTGAAACGAAGTGGAATATTGGTTGCCTAAATTACAAATAGAGCTCGTCCGTAAAACAATGTAAAAGGAACTGATATAAACATCGAATGAACTGAAACCAATTTTTGGAGTGTGGTATGAAGACTACGAAAAAAATACCATTTTGAACAATAAAAAAGAATTGTGCTTATATTTATTTTATTCATAAATAAAAGTCTATCACTTTACCGAGTTAATTTCAACATAAACATATCAACTACCTATTTTGTCAATGCCTTCAATTTTCGCCAAGTGTGAACCGTTTGAAGAGTCAGAAAGTGAACGCTGTTGTTTTCATCTTCCTTGGGAAAAGTATTTTGATGTTTTTGGTTGAATTTTTGTTGTAAGTTAAATTAGTGAAGTGATTCTGAGAACCTTTTCATAGTAACATGGATTACAGTGGTAGACCACCTCGTGATTGCAGGCACAATGAAAAAATCTGCTTCAGGGGCTTCTTTAAATTTCCCTTGGAATCTGTAAGATAAGAAATATAAAGAAGTATATTATTCTATAATCAATAAAAAACTATTTGGTATGCAATTTTTACAGCACAGTGAAAATTCCAATAGTTGTAATGATTTAGGATCTATTTTACTCGCAATTGAATCTAAAGAAAGTAACCAGTGTCAAATTATTAATAGAGTTTTAAGCTGAACAACTTTTGCACATAAATCTGTGGAAGTAAATACGACAGACTACAGACATCTGGACATGGGGAAACAAAATTCTTTAAGTTGTCTGTGGATACTTAATGAAGAAATGCTTGATGAAATATACCTGTGAAACATGTAGTTATTTTGCCGTTGCATGTAATGTCATCATATATGATAAACTTCTCTGTCACTTCAACGCCTTTGATGATGATCCACCATTTTGGTAATCCTAAAGCTGGCCATTCACGTTCCAACGTCCCACTACGATTGTAGTGGATGCAACTGTTGTACAATTCTGTTAAAAAGCAGCAGTACACACACGTTACGACCTTGCAGTTAAAAATTTGCGATCGTGATGACAACATGTCCGACAAAATGACGAAAATGTACTTTTATAGCTGCTCTCACGGTTTGAATAACATACACTGTCAAGTCATGTCCACACATGATCAAATTTCCATCCAATTCAAAACGATTGTACTGCTGCAGACAGACTTGTTCACCGACCGTCCACATCCAACCGATTTGCTTGATCTCATACACAGACGTTCAAAAACACTTCAATTTGGTCATATCCAACACAATTGTTCTGCGGCGTTGAAACGTGAGTGGCGGGCTTAAGATGCTACATGAAGCATTCACCTTTTATGTTGCAGCCCTAGAAAAACGATTTGCTTCACTATTTTCTACCAACTCAATTTTACCTTCATGTGGCCGATATATAAAAGCAGTCCTCGTAACTGTGTCCAGACCAGCATACGGCACCCCTGTGCCTTGTGTACAGTTTCCACAAGATTATTTATTCTATTTATTTGTTCGAACGCGCATTTTCTATTCGGTAAAAATAATAAATCACAGTTACAATATTAAATGCCAAACACCTAAAATGTCAAATTTGACGCACAATGTTGACATGGTGGTAAATTTTATTTAGTAACAAGGTTTGCCACTACAGTTTCAAGCCAAAATTCAAGGTCATGTCCTTACCCAACGGTCGATTATTGTTCTGGTCCGTTACGTGTATTTCTTATGGGGTTTTCAAAAGCTGTCATTACTGTATGATATTCTGTGCTTGCGTCGCCAGGGCGCGAACCGAGAGTACGGATAATGTGAAATATACTTCAAGCAGATAACCAATGGGAAAAGTGTATTTTTATCAGCGTATAGGGACATCGAAAGAATGTGACGTTTATCACGTAGCAGTTTGTTTAATTTAGATGAATTTGTCTCCTTAACTTAAAACAGGACTAATATTATTAATCAAGCCCCAATAGAATGAAATGTCCTGAATATTACGAGTATTATTTGTATTCTTATTTTGTCCTTATTAAAAAAAGACAGGCGTATTCTTACATTTTCGAGAAAAATGGGGTGACCGGCCTGCTGGCCTGCCTAATTTTTCAAAGAAGCGGAATTTGTAGGACTTATACTTCAGGCGCATGTCGAAATAAACTTCGAGCAATTTTTTTCTAAAAATATTACATTATAGATTTAGTTAAAATGTAAGTTGTGATAACCCAAACTTCCCGCCTTTAAATTGACCTTGAAAAAGTTTAAAAAGACCCGCAAAAAATTCAAAATTTGGCCTTGGCTGTGATCGTCTAACAAATAGGAACCTACGTTGTGTGTTTTTTTTTTAAAGTGGCGATAAGACGTTCTTTCATACAAGTGCATACACTACGTGTGGGTCGAGAGCGCAAGAAATAATAGACAAAATTGTTTTGGAGGGGTTACCACGGCACCCCCTCACAGGAGGAAAGAGCTGCGAAGATTTACTCCTCAGCGCAAAAACCCCCTTGCTTTACTCACGGACATATTACATTTCAAACACCTTAAGATATATGAAAAAACACGCGCGAATTGACAGACATACACATATGAAAACGAACAAACGCAAAATTCTATACAGCTGTTTGGAATCAATGCAAATATTTGAATATCACAAATTTAATTAAACAACAAAGCAAAATCTGAATTAAGTAACTGGATGCAAATATACGTTATTACGGGCGTGTGGCGGCAGATTTTTAAAGTTGTGGCAGTTAACAGGAGCACAATAAAAGTACCCCTGGGGCGTTGTAGCATAAGCGGAGTTTGGGGCTACCGGTCTGGGGCTGTTCTCCCGCACACATATCTCCATTACGAACGTGCCCTGCGAAACTAGGCCATTACGGTCGCCAGACCCGCAAGTGGATCTCGACTATTGGTTCAAGTCGAGAGCACTACAAACCGGCGATCGCCCCCTGACTCTACACAAACCCGCGGACTTGTGCAGGTGACGGGATTAATCTCGCCAGCTCGACTAGGAATCGAACTTCGCTTCTGCCACGTTTTCTATGTTATTTAACCTCAATTCCATTTTTAAATATTCAATCTCTTATAACTCTGATATTAACAACAACTAAACAAGTGTTACAGTTTCAACGAGCAATAAACAACATTTAAATTCGCCATATAATCTTGTGAAATTTTGAACAACAAATAATTCTTATGTGAGATTAATTTATATGACAGAAACATTCATCAACAAATTATTTACAAACCGAACTTAGCAACGATTTATGAAACAAAAGATCTGATGTGAAATGAACTTGTACAAATAGAAATATGTATTCTGTTAGGTTAAAACTGTAGAGCATGAAATTTACGTTCAATTAAAATTATACAATAAAGGAAAATTACTGAGGTTATAATTGTGAGATTAAAGAAATATTGTCTGAGGTGAAAATTTGCAGAGTTAACAAAATTTACATGGGATTAATATTTGCCACACTTTATCAACGATTCAAACAAAGAGTTTACATTATGTCAAATTAGATTATGACCCAAGTGATTGGTTAATTCAAAAGAACAATTTACTTTGAGACTTTAAAATACCGCGAACTGGTTACCCCAACAAAACACATAATAAACAAACACAAAAATATCCAATCATCGCTCCGAGGGAAAAAGCGTCTCGGTGATGTAAATTTTAAATCGTTGCGAGGAAAAAGCGTCTCGGTGATGTAAATTTTAAATCGTTGCGAGGAAAATCTGTGGCGTTGTGAGGGCATGCCTTGATAAATTAATCAATCTGTCGCGTTGTGAGGGGATGCCTTGATAAATTAATCAATCTGTAGTTTTGTGAGGACAAGCCTTGATAAATTAATCAATCTGTAGCATTGTGAGGACAAGCCCCAGTAACGTGATCATGATAACGACGATAACCGCCTAAGTGAAGAAAACATTTTAAACCCCTCCCGCCAGTTCGTAGTATAATGAACTTGTTTAACTGCCGCAAATGAACTAATAGCAATCGTGTGTGAAGAATTTAGAAGTGTTATATGTAACACTTACGTATATGCACCCAGAAACTTACTCGTAATTAAACAATAAGGTGTTTTCCTGACTAAATGAATTTCATGAAATCTTCTAGCAAGTGGTTTATTTAAATAATCCTGATTGTTAAACTGTGTTTGCACTAGCTGACTATTAAGAAAAACTAACTTGATTGGTGAATTTACAAACAATGAAACAAATTTACAGCACGTGTTTCGCGTTGACCGGAAGTCCACATTTTCCGATTAAAAGGCCGCACGAATTAACCGCGCGGGTTGGGGACAACTGTGTCATTATGAAAGTTACGATTGATTGTCGTTAAACAAAGGTTTCCTCCCGTTTCATTAATTACCAAACGAACTAATTTAAACCTAGCGCTTATCACGTGGTTACAGTCGCACAAGCACACTTAGAATGACCTTAGGCCATGCTGCCCTGTCTCTACCAATCCACCAACCCTGTAACTAGAAACCCCTAGCGCTAAATCGTCCGGTTACCAAGCAAGCATTTCCGTGCACCAGGTTGCCTATGTTTAACGATTTCATTTTTTGTGATGGATTTTTTTTTCTTTCAAATTCAAATTATTCAAATGTGATTTCGCACCGCTGTTAATTAATTTCAGCGCGAAAACTTTTATTTAAATTCGGTCACCACAAAGTATGTATTAGCAATCTTGTGTGAGTAATTAAGAAGTGTTATAATATAACACTTGAGTATAAGCATCCAGAAACTTATTCATAATTTGATAAACAAAGGATAAGTCCTGACTAAGTGAATTTTATGAAA